GGCAAAGTGCCTGCATTTAAAACTGTTAGCAGGCAGGAGCTGGCTCCAAGCTTCACGAGCGTTTTATAGGTTCCCCTGGGCAGAGCTAAAAGCTGCCTCACCATCTTTTACTGAACCACGGTGATTAGGAGCCCGATGTGGTGACGGCACTGCAGGCACTGGACTGTGATTTACAGTTTGGACTAAATGCATGTTTTCTTTTCACTAAAGCAGCGACACAAGAAGCTGATCACACAAACAGTTCATATAAAAATATGCTACAAGATTTAGAGTAAGGTATTATTTAATCGTTTTATTAAATCCTTAATTTGTATAATACCCCTTGTTGCAGTTTAACAGGCACATTTCAGGTCATTAAAATAATATGTTTCCCTTTCATTTTTTTTTAATAATAAATAACTTTTTTCATTGCTGCCAGAAGTGGAGCCAAGGAGAAGTTGTGAAAATGGAAACGTTTTATAAAAAGTATGAAGTAATTTACAAAACAGAAGAAATAGAGCATCATGTCAACAGACCTGAAATCATTATTAAATATATAAATATATATTGTATTTTATTTGCAGCATAGTAGAAAACAGATAAGGTTTTTAAATTCTGCTTAAAGATAAATTAGTTTTGTATAGCAAACACAAGAGTAGTTTTAAAAAGCATCCAATTTTTTTTGCATTTGCTAAGCCTAATTTACAGAACCAAAAAAATTAACTGAAAAATACTGCAGATGTTGTTTTTTTTCTTTAAGAAAAAAACGGATCTGAGAAGTTTGTCTCTCACTTGTTCCCCTATACTCTGGTACCTCCAGTAAATTCCAGTAAAATAAACTTTTCTTTATATTAATGAATAGAGTCCCCTGATGTGCATCAAACAAACATTAGCTGTCTATTCACTGAAAAAATTCTTGAAAATGTCTTGATAAAATGCATCTATGTAGATAAATGTAAAATAAAAGACATAAAACAGAATCAAAAGATCAAAGAATAGACAGAGATCTGCCTTTCAAGAATCACCTGTTCTCTGTTCTCTTCTAATCTGAAGAAAGAGTAACAGAAATGGACATTTGTGTCTTGTCAGATGTCTTCAACATTTCAAATCAACTATACACTTAACATCAACCATTTCTTTTTTTGCATTATTTTGTTTTAGTTGTTTTGTTAATTGTTTTATTTTGTGGTACTCTAGGAGGATTGTCCTCCTAGACGTACTTCACAAACCCCAGACATACCATAAAAAACCTGAACCATTGACTATTCCTTAGCATTGCACCTGGATAACTTCAGCTCTGCTGCTGCAGCTAGGAAAAAACTACAGCGTCAATTAAGCCCTGTGCATGCAATGATCAAACATTTTAAACTGAATATAGGTGATAAAGTACAGAAAGCGTTTTTCTTCTAAATAAATATTCCTAAATATGTAAAACCCATCATCTGGGATGAGGAGAAGGATTTTAGCTCCATCTGGACCTTGTGGGAAGGGTGTTAAATCATTTCTCTATTCCTGCAACTGACTGTAATACCTTGCAGATGGTATGGCATGTATACCAGCACTGATAATAACTCCTAATAGGAGCAAGAAGGAGAGTAACCAAGAGAAAATTCATGACTCTGTGTGGAGACCAGCATGAAACAACAAATGGTAGAAATTACACAGTTAGCATGGCTCCACAAGTAGAACTAAAGCACCCCTTGTCCGGAGGATCCTGGGGGTGGGGGGTTGGTTTCAGGAGACACATGCGACCCGCCAGAGGGTCAGACACAGGGCTGCGTAATGAATCATTTTCTTGTTGGGAGTTTCTACACCTTCGGCCACGAGAGCCTGAGACATTACTAGAGTGAGAAATTGGCCGTGGTTTAAGATAGTTTTTAAAATTTCATGCCAACATGAGGGGAACATGGAGGTCTGCAGGAATGCAACAGGCAAACTAAGACAAATATTAGGCAGAAGTGGCTGCAGGACACTGTGTAGTTTAGTGTCGTGTGGCTAAATGTACACACTGGAAGTGTCAAAGTTCTTGGGAGCTATCATCTTTCTGTACCTTGCTGGGACCAGCTGACATTGAAGTAGCTGCCAGCTGCCAATGGGTGGTTTGCAACTGGTGTTACAAAGTATTTGATAGCTGTCGAAGTTCGAAGATGGAGCAAACATATGTGCAATGCATGTACACAGTGGAGCTGAGTAGGAGCTCCTCCAAAGTACTTGAATATATTTAAAAAATAGTCCAGTTAAAAATTGACTAAAGCCTTATATGGGATGCAGCAAAGCTAGTTGGAAGGTTTGGCCTCCATGTGCATTGCTCTGTGAGACAAAAAAGCTAGTAAAGCACATTATTCAGTACATATAATCCACATGGAGAAAACAAGGGCAATGACTGGAGATGATGGGGAAAGCTAAGAAGCTATGTAAAGAATTTTTTCTGAGTTTGCCATGTTTCATTTTTGGCCTCAGTAGATGGCCAATCACACTGAGCCTGGTTCTGCTGGAGGTTTCTTCCTGTGAAAAGGGAGTTTTTCCTCTCCACTGTCGCTACAAGCATGCCTAGTGTGAGGGATTGCCTTTGAGTCAATGAGTCGATGCAATCAACTGGTATTTCTTAAATATAAAACTATGAATCAATTTGACTGTATGATCTGCCTGAATTGTCTCTGTAAAGTGCCTTGAGATGACATGTGTCGGTGTTATATAAATATAATTGAGCTGAATAGAACTGAATTTATTGCAACTCCATGCACATTTCCATCGAATCCAATTGGCATTCATATCACTGCCCCCATCATGACGGGACCACTACCATGTTTCTCCATGGGGATGGTGTGTTCTGAATGGTGCAGTTTTCATTTTCCATCCAAGGTATGCTTGTAAACCAAAATGTTTAACCCTAGTGTCTGCAGTCTGCTGTGTTTTGGGGTCTTCTTTCAATGTATACAGAGGTGGACCTTATTTACTTATTGATCAACTTCTGAAGATCATACTTTACTCAAGAATTCAGTTAGGGGTGTTTGAATAAAGGGGCGGCTAACACAAATAAGCAGCACACTTTTAAAACATACACAAAAAAAAAAATTCCCATTTAAATGGGACATTCAATGGCGGCTCTAGACCGATTATCAGATTAACTGTTTTTTCATGGGGGCGTAGAGGGGAAAAGAAACAACATCACAAAAAAAAACAAAAAAGAAACCAACACCTTGATGTTTGTTAAAGTAAACCTGTAAGTAAAAAAAAAAGAAAAAAAAAAAAAAAAACAATGACTAATCAGTTACAGTATGTGTGCCCACACATATCCTCATAAAAACAGATTTAGTTTTGTTTATTCAGTAGAGGGGCCATAACAGGAGCCAGGACCAGTTCTACAGGAACACTGCGCCCGGTTGGCCGTCTAGAACCGTCCATGGCTATTTTATGTTGGTCTAAAAACCCACTAAGACACCTGCTCTTTATTTATGGATATTTTCTACACTGAAAAATATCATGCAACTGTTTTTGGAATTTACTTAATCATATTCAGTTACTCTAACACAATTGTTTTATGTCCTACCCTGCTAATATGCAGTGGTGTCAAAAATACACACATTTGGTACTTAAGTAGAAGTATAGATACTGCAGTTTAAAAACACTCTGGTAAAAGTTGAAGTATCAACTTGACCTCTTTACTCAAGTAAAAGTGAAAAAGTATGTGCTCCAAAAACTACTTAAAGTATAAAAGTATAAAGTAAATAAAAAAAAAAAACAGCCAGATGCCACTATATGAGTTGGAAGCTAAAAAAAGCTCGAAAAAATTATTTGAGATAGGGCCAAGGATGAGGGAGGTCTTGTTGGTCTCCGTCTCCATCTCCCGATACGCTGTCGCCTGTGTCCGACCTTTCAGACATTTCAACATCTTTTTCTAAATCCCACATGGTAGCATGGCATAGACAATTCACGTTTGCAGTTTGAAGAACACCTGCTTGCTTCTGATGATTTCCTTTAACTAACCAATGAGTGTTTGCGTTATATGACTCATCCAATTACACTAATTTTCACTAGGTGAGGATGGCGCCAATGATCTGCATTGGATGGCGCACATGACGGGAAATAAATATCTATGAACATTAAACCGAAGCCAACGTTACTCGAAGCCACAAGTAACGTTTGTTTAAAAAAAAGTAAGGAATAGAAAGTACAGATACATGTGTGAAAATGTAATAAGTAGGAAGAAAAACAAGCAATTGAGTAAAGTATAGATACCTAAAAACGAAGTATTTCACTGAAAAAAATAATGCAACCGCTTTTCCCATTTAGCATCATATTTAGTTACTTTAACACAATTGTTTCACATCCTACCCTGCTAACATGAAACAATTGTGTTAAAGTAAATTAATAGAATAGAATTCAACTTTATTGTCATTCCACTGTCACAAGTACAGAGCAACTAAATTAATTCTCTGCATTTAACCCATCCCCTTGGGAAGCAGTGGGCTGCCCTCGTGCGGTGCCCGGGGATCGGTGTGGGGTTAAGGGTCTTGCTCAGGGACCCAGAGTGGGAGTCTGTGGGAGATCAAACTCACAACATCAGGATAAAGCCCTATGCCCTAACCACTAGGCCGCCACTCCCCAGATATGATTAAGTAAATGCCAAAAGCGGTTGCATTATTTTTTTCAGTGTTGACACCTCTGTTAATATGAAAAAATTGTGTTTAAGTAACTAAATATGATTAAGTAAATGCCAAAAATTGTTGCATTATTTATTTCCGTGTATAGTGGTGTAAATGGATGTAAGTGAACAGAAGAGATAAACACACAGACAATGAAGATAACTTTAGATGCTCTGCATTTCTCCTAAAAATGAACGAACTCTGGATCAGATGATACTGAAAGCTGTAACGTTTCTTGCGAGGAACAGGTCCTGCAGGGTAGGATTTAACACCAGGCTGGAATTTCTGCAAGGTGAGTTGTTTGTTGGCTTTCAGTCAGCGCAGGAGTGCGCCTTGCCTTGCCTTGCCCCTCCCATCCCTCCGCTCCAACTCTCTCCAATAAAGCTCTTTTTGTCCAGGGGAGTCGGCACTTGAGCGCATTCCTTGACGTGGAGGCTGGTATACCTCTCTCTCTCTGACCGTTTGATGAGCTCTTTGCTTTGGTTAAAAATCACCCATAGAGAGGAAAGAAAATACTTTTAAACCTTTAGATTTGTTTTTGGATCTTGATCCGGAAAACTACCCTGTTTGGAGTTAAATTGATCACTTTGGATACGGACACATGCGCAACGGCGCTCATACAACTTCAGCTCGGCAAAGTTACGGGTAAGAACATCCGGCAACTAATAACACAACATAGATAGATAATATTGTCAAGCCTTTAAATATATTGGGAATAGACCAGTAGACGCGTAATTTAGGAGTCTGTAAAATAGTATATTTAACAAACAAACCGAGATTAAATATAAAAGCTCATTAGAGTTTTGTGCACTTTAATGCAAACGCATCTAAGCGTGTCATGTTATTGTCATTTTTGGATCCCATGCAGGTAAAATAAGTGAGTAAACAAGCATTATTGTGATGATAAAAGCGCCGCGTTTAGCGCACGTGCGTAAAGTCACAAATTCAGCAAATACATGGGCGCGCGCCTCATCTTACAGGGATGATACGTTTGTAGGGGATCCGGTTGCGTCTAATGCCTGAGGTCAATAAAGAGTGAGAGAAGAAAAAGCGTGATGTTGGTGCCCGGTGCGCTGAGGCAGCCGTAATGAGGCGGGCTGGCGTTGGACCACAGGACGCCGCGCAGCACGCAGGGACAGAGCCTAGAGTCTGGACCGCACCGAGCCCTGCTCACCGCAGAGGACAGCTGTTTTTGGAGCATGCAGCAGAGAGCGTCCCACTGACAGGGGAAGTTCAACAGCACAAAATGCATGATTTACATGCAGGGTCAAAAGTGTTGGGAGCTGTGGAGCTATTAGTGGCAGAGGCGAGCAAAGGCTATATGAGACCCTAACTCTGCAGGACCCCTTTTATACAGGGTTTATACAGGAATGAATAACTTAAATTTAATGCTTTTTAATGCTCTTAGAAATAATTTTAATGCCACCAACAGGTATCCATTGACAGGCTGCAACCAGGTCTTGAATTCCTCATTTTCCAGCCACTTTTGTTGAAATTTGCTTTTTTCCCCCTATTCTCTAGCTTTTTCTCCAATTCAAGCTTCTTTTCTGAACATACAGCTTTGTGATCAAACGGAAGCAGTTCCATGCAAATATATTGTGATATAATATGTCTGAAGAAATTGTTTTTATAAACTTTTTTTTTAATAAAGCATTTTGAATGCCACAAGAAACACATTTAATGCCAATTAAGGCCTTAATTTAAACAATAATAATGACTTTAAATGATTTTTAATGACCCGCGGAAACCCTATATGCTTCTTGCTGATCTTCTTTTGGATTCTACTGTTAACCTGCAAGCCAACAATAAACAAAACTACCTAAACAACATATTAGGTTATTCATTAAGGATGAAGTGCCCATAGGCTGGGTTTATTTTGTGGTTTTAAGTGTAATTTCATTTCTAGAAAGCCTTTATTATATGGAAACCTCTATGATCCCACTTTGCTCTGTAAGTCAATAATGAACTACACAACTTTAAATGTTAGGTAATAGCGTTATTAAAATAAATATGAAAATATTTTTCATATTTTTAATGCTGCAGTTAATCTGACTGTAGCCAGAATGTAAACATGAATCTGCAACAAGCTGTTTGTACGACAACTAGAAACTAAAATCATTAACATGAAAACCAGATGTTTAGCCAGGAGCTAAAATAAAAGATTTTTATAAGGATTTAATGAGGACTGATTCAGAGATGTAACCACATTTCTGTCATTTATCTATCAACATATTGTTACTTTGATTTTATAATAAATAAACTGGCTTAAACAAAAGGAGCAGGTTGAATAAAAATCAACTTCTACGTTTTGTTTGAACCCCAAGTAGCCACAAAGTTTGATTCAAAGAATAGCATTGATTCAATTTCCCTCTCTTAAGGGTATTATTAGACTATTGCATAATAATAGACACTATTCAAAGCACGTGTTGCAAGAAATTAAACCTTTCAGACAAGTTTTAGTTACAAGGGATGCATTATGCCAATTTGCAAGATTAAAGATGTCCCATCAACTGCTGCTACCAGTAATGCTATGATTCGATTATGTAATAACTTCATAACCCCCAAGTATGCACAACTTGCTGCCAAACAGTATGATGCATTTGACTTTTAGCTGAAAGCAGGCAAGAAAAAAGGTAAACAGAAATAAGACAACATGTCAGCATCCTATGGCAAGCGTGCGGCAGAGCTACGAGCGAAGGGGTCAAATTCCTGAAAGATTAAATCTCTGGGTGACCTTCTCCGGGTTTAAAGAAACATCCAATAAAGCGGCGTGACTCGACATGTTTGAAGAAATCTCTGTTACGGAAAGTAAAGATACATGTAACAGTGTTTCCTGCTCCTTTTCTGTATAATGTTGCCAGTATAAAGATGCACTGATCAAACCTGGCTTGCTGGAAGCATGACATCCAAAAGAACAACAGGGAAGGCTGATTTCTTCATCTTAGGGAGAACAAACCTCTTCTTTTTTTACATTGAGACACAGAGAACCGCCTCCATTCTGCTAGGGGCAAACAAACCCCAGCATAACTACTCCAATAACCCCCTATTAACTCATCACCGGTGCTCTGCTTGTTTCATTGCCCAGTACTACATCGCAGGCCATCATTATGTTGTAAAATAAGCTCCTCTGTCATTGACAGTATGTAATGGTTGCAATCTGTTAATATATTAAGCTACCAGTCATAGCAGAGCAGCCACAGGAGGCCAATTACCCCCCACCCCCCTCACTAATGTGTGGAAATTTGAGGCTGCAGATGGTGACACAATGGTAAAGGAGAGCACTGCTGGGCACTTTCTGATGCTGTAAATAACACAGATGTGTGCCTGAACAGTTATATGAAGTCAGTATTCTCAGACTGTTGCGTTTGCTGACACTCAGATCAATCAGTGGAAAGACATGGAGATCTCAGAGGGAGAGAAAAATAACAGATAACAGCTACTTCTGTATCCATTTAGCAAGGAATTCAACATTTAGATGCTCCTTTGTCAAAATATTAACACCACATTTGTGTGTTGGTGCGAGCATGAAGGAGAGGGCATGCTTTGTGCACAACGAACGTGTTATTTTAGCCGTATCTGTGTGTGGCCGCTAAGCAGGAGGAGGAGGACAGGGTTTCTGTCATAAACTTAGAGTCAAACAATTAAGCACAGACCCGCCTTTCATGCAGTATGTTACAGGGATGTTGAAACCACACCACCAGCGCTCGGTCCAGTTGGCAACACTGTGCCAGTGGGAGCTTTAATCTTCTTTTTTTTTTCTTTTTTTAACAAATCAAGGCTGGCATTTCTTTATCTGTGGCAAAGAGCTTTGGAGGGAAAGAGCGCTGATGTCTAAATTTGCTGTGGACCACAATCATAGCGTTTCATTTGTTGCTTTTAAATGTGAACTAAAAGCAGGGTTCCTGTGCAGGCTGGAAAAGTTTACAATTTTCCATTTCTGGGAAAATAGGGAAGAAAAAAGCTTCCAGGATCGATCCGATCAATCCATCAGTTTCCTAACTAATAAAATATTCTGCCACCAAGTTTAAAAGATGTATTTTTATACAGATAAAAGTGGTCTGAGAACTATAAGTTATGAATGCTATGTTTCACAAGATAAATATGTATCTGTTGCCTTTCTCCTCTCTCCAAATGTCCAGACGTTTCAGGGCTCAGTTTTACCCCCAATTAGAGTGAGTGCCCAAAGCCTTCGACCCTCAATATCAGAGGGATTAGAGGGTTAAAAGTCAGGTGCTGAGGCGAGGGGGCCTGGGGAAAGGAGAAGAGCAGGGTGCATTCTCTGAAAGCCCAGAGAGGGAAGTCAAAAGGGTGGAAACATGGAAAAAAAAAAGTCTCAATTAGCAAGAAGGAAACTCTAGAAGAACAAATCCTTGTTATGTCAAAACCTGAAATATAATTGTTCATCTCCTTTCAGAGGTGCCACAGCAGGAGGGGTGTTGTCACAGTCAAACTTCAACTTATAAGAGGCATCTTTAGCAAAACCCCCAAGCTTCAAAGGCCTCAGCCTTTAACATCAATGCTGAACCAGCGGTATGTGGAGGCAAACCCTAGCCCGTACGCCTGCCAAGCTAAATTGAAGAAGAGCTCGCCGATGCAGCCAAATGATGCGTTCAGAAGAACCACTTCAAAACCCTCGCATAAATATACACACGCATGAAGGGATCAAAGCGTTTCAGAGTGGCCCGGTTTGAGCCCAAAACCCCCAAATAACGGCTGCCCTCCACATATACTGTCCTACACTGCCAAACACGAGCATGTTGAAGCAACCTTATAACAAGTTTGTAAAATCCAACCTGTATTGAAGCTCCTATCTACATTGTGAATCTTCAGAACTAAGCTGGAAAATCTATAAAAATGCCCCCCCTATACGAGTAAACAAATTCCTGAGGACTGAGGGAAAAACGAGGAGCAGGATAAGGATGTTCATAAAGAAAGACACCACAAATTGCTGCATTTCAGTTGGTTTGTTACATAAAAAAAGGGAAAAAATGACTCTTAATCTAAGGTTGTAATTACTTCTGGCCTGTGCTGTAATTAGGAGATGAGCCATGAACTAGATGTAACTGGGCAAAAAGAAAGCAAGGACACACAAACACACAGCTACAGTGCCCAGTGCAGTAACTGGCATCACTGGGAGAGATGTGTAAAACCTCTGAAATAAATGCATCATTTAACACATTTTTACCCAAGAAATGAATTTATTAAATCAGAGGAATATGAAAGAAAACAAAGTTAAGACAAAATGTTTTAAACAAAACAAAACCAGGAGATGAGCAGTTTTAGCAATTAGGTCTTTTTTTTTATCAATATCCTGCTAAAAAAATACCCCAAAAACCTCAGCTTTGGTGAGGTTTGCTAACAAATTTCACAGGATCCTTAGGAGAGAGATAGGCCCATAGCATCATTGAACCACCGCTGTTCTTTAAAGGGGTTTGTAATTACATATCAATCTGTTTTACAGCAAAACCTGCTGATCTTTTCTGCAGTCTCTTCTGACTAAATTCCAGGTAGATATTAGAAAACCTCACATCCATGTTTGTTTCTGATTGGCATGCAGTTGCATCATATGGTTCCAAAAAAGATCCAGTGACCCTAACAGGACTTCTGTTAACTGCAGAAAAGATTGGAAAGCAATCATTTCCCTGTATAGCAACTAAAAAAACATGACTAGAAGAAAACAGAAGCCAGCTTTCTTTCTTAGTTGGTGTCTAAGACCTTTAAAAATCACAGAAGATGGACTCATTCTAACCCACCTCCATAGGAGTTTATCTAACGCACAGGCCAACACGTTCTCACGGACAGAGCTGCTTTCCTTCCCCCAAGCGGCCGACCTTTTTGTTCTCTGCCTCACTTTTTTCGTAACATCTATTTCAGTCACATCCAGGGTGACACAGATAGCACTGCTATGTGGTGCCACCCTCAGAGTTAGAGCGCTGGATGCAGGCAGAAAGCGGGAATCTGTGCCTGTATCTGAACGGCAGCATAGACCGGACAGAGTCCCTGTCACTTAACGCTGCAGTCGGCAAGAAAGCGCCACAAGTTGCAACTTGTGCCTGGTGGGAAGTCGAGTGGAAAGAAGCCTCACAACTTCAAACGTCTTAAGCAAAACAAACAACTGTGTTTATGATTAGTTGATCTTGATCCTGGGCTGCTTCGGCTGCATGCAGCTATCAGTGAAAACAGTGTTACAGCTGTTTCAGAGGCCTGATCAGAAAGAAGGACTGCACCTTTTCTGGCCTTGAGTTCCACTTTGAAAGCTAAATATTTACCTTTCAGTCAAGGAATTGTGTGAGAGGCAGTCACCTCAAAGATCTAACAACGGCAGGGTCAGTGCACACGGCTCTTCTGATTTAGCAGCTACTCGTACAAATTATTTACTCACATAAGCGTGCATCGATGCCTTTACCGGTGAAGACATATGTATGCAAAAAGTATACATAAAAGCCTAAAAGTCTGTGTAGGGCTGTAAAACACTACTGTTCTAGGATAAAGATGTAAAGCAGAGTGTATCAAAGCAAACGTGTCACGGAACAGGTCAGTTTCACATGTAAACACAATGAAGGAAGTCATGCAAGTTGATATGCTCAGTGTTTAAAGATTGAATTCAAGTTTGTAGCTTTTTAATAAAAAAAAAAGTAACTCAGCGTGTCATTGCACTTGATGTTTATAATGACCATCACAAATACAGTAAAATCACTATAAACATCACCTATCTGGCTGCACTCTATTGGAAGAGTAGAGGAACATTTTTAAAGGCAAGTTAACATACCTGAAAAAAAAAAGAAAATAGATGTAAATCACAGTGAAATTGGCAGTTAAAACTTGTTTTGCTACTTTGCTAAAAAAAAAAAACTCAACAGGGCACACTGTATGAGGGCATGGAGTTTGAGTAACACGTACAGATAATGGGTTGAGGAAGCTAAGACAAGGAGCTGACAGAGTGGAGAGGCGGGCGGTCGGCCTGCATTCTTGCCACTCTCCCCGCGCTCCGTCATTCTGTTGTGTTGCTACACAGCCGGCTGGCCGGCTTAGCATGCTCCTGCACACAGCTGGAATCTAACCAATTAACAGACAAAAAACAAAAACTTCCTGTTACACTTCTAGGGTATCCACAGTGCATGGCAGATTAGCTGGGTTCCAGCTAAATAGAGCAGGTTAAACACGCTAAAGGTGATTTGATTAACATATCCTATTGTTTTCCAGGTGGAAAAAATTAATCAACTGAAGAAAAAAAGGAGGGGAGCAGAGATAGAGGAGGAAGCATCGTGACTGGGTAAGTCAGTCTGGCAGCTTTACTATAAAAGTGTCCATTTAAATAAGAGGGAGCCAGCTGCTGTAATGCAAATACAGGCTTAAGAACAGAAACACTATGTTATTACAAAAAACAAAAAAAGAAGAAGCTTAGTAACATTTCGGACGCAGTAATATTAATAGGGTGCTTTGAATATTTCAATCCCAACAAGACGCTGTCGGTGGTCTTTGGTGTGTTAACTTTAACACCCTGCTTCCTCCAGAGGCCTTTCACTCTGAGGCTGTTAACAAAGACTGGCAGGAGAACAAGAGCAGCTCTCTTACCAAGCACACAGTTTTTCAGTGACTCAAGGGAGCCGTGTAGGAAACTTCTGGCCTTTTGTTTCTTTCACGACTTTTATCAATCGTTGCAGACAAAGCTTCATTACCTCTAAACACTGACAATATATCCATTCCTGCTTCTAGTTTCACTATTTCATACTCATGTATTTAAGCCATTAAATTGTGTTTATCTTTAGTTGTTGATAAAGTTATGAATATAAATTTATACACCAACATGATGGATAAAGACCCTGATAAGGATCAGTTTAATGTTTAATATAGCCACTATTTATTAGGTACACAGTGACTAATAGTCATTAAGAAACGCCCCAAAGTCAGATGACCTAATTTCTTACCAATAAAATCCAGTACCTATGACCAAACTATAATGGTATGAAATAATGTGGTCTGATGAAACTAATAAAAAGTTTGGAGCATGATTTATCTCATCAACAGCAAAGTTTAGTTTGTGCGTGTGGTTAAAACACCTTTAAAGGTATAGTGGAAGATTTTCGTGATTTTTTTTTAAAAGACCTGCTTTTTTCACTTAAAAAAATAGCACATTCACAACCCTGTACCCGCTCCTGAGAGGGAACACCTATTAAACGAGAGCATGCAGGAGCCCATTTCTCCTCATGCATGCTCTGTTTTAAAAGTTGCTGTTCTTATAACTCTTACAAGCTTACTGTGTCTAAACTTCCGCCCCAACCCATAAATCCCTCAATCATTATATAGAGCGGGAACTATACAGTGGACTTCATAGTGAACTCAGTTAACTGATCGTTCAGACAGATCACTGCTTTTTGCTCACCGTTGGTCACGTAACTCCTCCTCAACCATGCGGTGCCTGGATCTGCCTCTTCTGAGGCCTTTCTTTTTCTTCTAATAGTTTGTAGACACTTTTTTTTTCTTATGACCCTCTGCCATTTTGAAATAACCACAGTGAGAAAGGTGAGCTTCAATGACTGTCTGAAACCGTAGCTCACCAAATATATACGCCTGAAAGTGCGCAGAAAAAGATAGCTAACGGGACGAGCATGTAGGACGGCCTAACATAAACCTATCACCAGAATGATTGGCAATTAGGAGGGCCACTTATTTAGATGATCCACCCGGAAAAAAAAGATCGTCCGCTATACCTTTAAGCTTTACCTAAAAACATTACTGGTGAATGAATTAATTCAGAAGTGATTACAGGGTTCAAGCATACTTTTAATTTAATCAACGTTAATGACGCATCCACCTGGGAGTTGGTAGTTGAAGTGTGTTTTTCAATCTCATTGGACGGTCCCAGTAATTGGATGTCGGTACCAGACTAACGCTCTGTTCACCATACAAACCTTTTCCTGACCTTTCACCCTCCGCCCTGCCTCGGTACTGTTCCCACCGCCAATGAGCTGTGACAGGGACTGTGTGGGCTTGTAAAGACAAATCCACATGACCACAGTCTCCCTCAGCCTCTGGATGCACATCACTGCTCTTGCTTATTGCCTCTTTAGCTCCTCATCGTCCCCCACCTCCTCCTGTGTAATACCTGTCACTCGCAGGAAAAAAAGGAAGAGGACGGAGGAGCGACATATTGATTTCTTGCTTTAAACCCTCAAATTCCACATACTTATTCTTCATCTTGCTGTAAATTATTTCCAAATAGCAAATGCCTCGGTTTCAACACTCAGCCATATTCTGCCTTTGTTGGTTTATCATCAAAAGCGAGCAGTGAATTACAGCACGTGTCGACAACCCCGCACATCTTTTACTCATCTTTTACCAGATGCACGCCTGTATTTCTGCATGCATCTGCAGCAATTTCACAACATGAGAGAGTATGGCAGAGTTACAGTTTGTTTTTTTTTAATCAAAGCCGTCCCACTCCGGGAGAACTAGGGTCTAATTAATGAGTTAATGAAGTTACTATCTTAACCTGGAGGCAAACATTTAAGAGCAAATAAGGGTGTTCCAAGATACCACAACCCTTTGACATCAGAGAACAGAGCCTGATCACACGTGTGTGAGCAAACACTTCAGAGTACATGCTGCTTTGTGTTTTTAACTCAGGAATCTGCTTCGATAACCTAAAGAGATGCATAAAGAGATGTGTTGATTTAGAGCAAACAAACTGCTCCTTCTGTCGACAAAAGCTACTATGTGATTCCCAACAAAGCAATCCTTTGTATAATCTGTTAGAAAGTTCAATAAATATGTCATATGTACTTGGGGGACAGATCTGGGTCATGAACCACACAAAGTGTCCCTGTGTTTTGTACTTTCCTTCTGCCTTTAATTGAAGATATTCATTATTCGTCTACCTAAAATACAGTGATAGATTATTTGAAAATGCTGTCTTTATGCATTAAAATTAGTGTTAGTACCTTTTCTTCTTTGTGCTTGATTAGTAAAATAAGTTCAGAGCTGCTGAGGATCCCATCTGCAGGCGAATATGATTATAAACCATCTCTTAAATTGTTAGGTGTTATTTGGATTTACTATCGGGGAGGAGCATTTTTTGATTCATAAACAAATTCGAAAGGTTTGGCTTCGAATCTGACCCACAGTGTCCCTTAAAATACGGAAAAGATGTTTGTCTGGGTATTGAGTGGGAAGGAAACTCTGTACCGCCTGACTGCTGCCTTTTCAAGCCAACCTCCCCCAGTGCAGGAGCAGCACCAAGGCAGGCAACAGTTTCACAATAGATTCCTTTGTGACACTGTAATCAGCAGCAATGATCTCTAGTTCACATTTATCCTGTGTGTATTGCACATGTCTAGTTTATTTTCTCCTTTCTTAAAGGGGGACAGGATAACAAAAATCTAGAACAGTGGATATTTTGAGCCGGAAAACCATCCTGGAGTAGGTAAAACACCTACCAGTAGTTTAACTAAGCATATTTAATGTTTTTGTCATTGGCAATTTAAAGGCGTTAGAACACCAGCTGACAAATCCAAATCCCTAAAGGTCTTAACTTAAATATCATCTATTTTCAAAGATTGTTTGTAAAAACTTGAGAAGTTGCTCCAAATCTGAAAAACTAAAAATCTTGCTTAAATATCCACAAAAATGTCTGTTTATTTAATTTTCTTGCATCATGCTGAGCAGCATATTTATTTGGGATTTTTTTGGACAAACTAAGACAAAGTGGAGAAATTGTAAAAGGTTAAAAAAATTATGAATGTTTTTGAAATAAAAGGCTCACAGAGCACGGCTGTATGATAGCTCTACCAGCTCTGGACCTCTTGACTAAAACTCTTCTTATAAAAACAACTTTTTAGTCAAATTGTATTCTATTAACTGAAATATTCAAGTGCTTTCTCAAATGATCAATTGGATTTAGGTCTGGGCTTTGAGCTATTCTAATTTTAGTCTCATCTGTCCAGACTAGAGTACCTTATTCATCATGATTGGAGAGTCTCCAGAATGGGAAAAAAAATGACTTTATATGTATTTCTTTTTACAAAAATGTCTTTTGTGAGCTGTTCAGAGGTTTGAGTGTAGTTTGAAAAGCCTACACTTCCGCACAGTTCGGCACAACGTTCCTCCTGACTCGTCTGCCATTTTCATGGATCTTCACAAAGATTCTTTAATAATGTTCTCCAACATTAGAGAGCAATTTCAGAGAACATTTATGAAGAGGTTATATTAAAAACCGAAGTGGCTTTATTTAAGGGTGTCAGGATAGAGGAGGATGAATGTAAACACGTCCCCCACTTTCCAGATTTAAATTTTCTTTAGACATTTTTTGAAGTATGTATCCCTTCTATTCGCAATTGTGTCTTTTATTGATGTTTGTGGGTAAAGCAATGTTTTGCTCCAAACAGATGCAAGCTTGCAGGTTCTCCCCATGTCTGAAAAGGCTGATATACATTCTCTGAACTGCTCAAATTTACCGATAACCATCAAACTAGCCTTGGGCTCTCAAGAAGCTAATGGACACTTTGAACCCCTGCAGGGTAGATGTGGCAGGTGGAGGAAACCTGGCTTCATCGGATTCCAGTCATAGTCTCATCATGAACAAACCCGATACCAAGAAGTTTTAAAGAGAGGTTACGAGGTGAGGATTTTGAAAAGCACAAACTCAGATATTTATGTGCTTCTGAAGAAGATTAACTCAATTTGTATTTCTTTGAAACCGAAAGACAAAAACAAAACACATTTTTAATAACTGAAGAATATGACTCAGACATGTGGACAGACAGGGAAAGATGCAAACAGACAATTCTCCTCAGTGAGTTAGTGTGACATTGTTTGTTTAAGAATAATAGCCTGGCTGCCAGTCGTTCGCTCTCTCTAAACCGGCACGCAGTAGGCCAGTCTGAGTCACACCTCCTTGGACTGCCTACTGAACCCTTATATGCTGATTTTACAACAGAGGGGGGGCACACTATCAAGCTACTCAAAGGAAAGTAACCAAATCCTCATTTCTTAAATAGAAATGTATAGATTACTGTCGGTCTGCGATTTACCAAAGAATGTGCATTGAGGAATTCATACAGAAACTCAGTAATATGTAAACACCCAGATTTAGAAGTATGCATGGCGTGCAACGTCAGGTAGATAAGCATCATAATGGCCAGGAGTCAAACGAGCATTCTGGCTATAACACAGATGGAATGAATGTCACTCAGGAAGGCAGACTGTCGGCATGAGAATGTAACTGTAGGCTTGTGGCGGACTGAACAAACTGGTCCATCCAGCTTCTTCAGACTT